AACCCCAAATCCTGAGATCCCCAAATCCCAAGATATCTAAATCCTCACATCCTCAAATCCACACATTCCCAAGTCTTCAGGTCCTAAAATCTCCACATCCCCAAATTCCAAGAACCCCAAATCCTGAGATCCCCAAATCCCAAGATATCTAAATCCTCAGATTCCCAAATCCACAGATTCTAAAATCCTCAGATCCTAAAATCACCTCCCAAAATCTCAGTATCTTCAAATCCTCAGATCCCCAAATTCTTAAACCCTCAAATTTCAAAACCTCCAAATTCCCACATTCCCAAATCCCAATCGTCAAAATCTCCTAGTCTCCAAATATCTTCCCCAAATTAACCCATGCAGAAATTTCCAAATTTCCCAAAATCCCTAGTCAGCAAGTCAACAAGACCTCTTTTCTCCCTCTTCCTAGGGAAGCCAGATTTGCTGTTGACTGTACAACGAGATATACGACCTACGATTGGCATGCACTAAGCGTTACCACTTACATGTACAACGTACATCCGCGATCTTCTTTTTTACCCCGGTCGACCTTTCCCAACCCTCTTTCTCTTCGGGCAGGTATTCTTGTCGGACGCGTTCCTCGTGCTCGCGACCTGATAAAAAGAGATCGGGGCCCAAGGAGAAACGATAAGAAGCGATACGTCGAGAACAGCCTTTGGAATGCCGTGTGAAATCTTTGGAAAACGTCAACACTGATACTGGTTTCGATAAACCATCGACGGGGGAATGAGATTTGCTGACTTTTGCTTCAAAGACGACCGACAAAAATTATTTCTGTGTGAAGTGTTTTTGAAACGGGATTCGAGTTATCTATGTTTGAAGAAGATCAACTTTTATGTTTTACTTCTTTATTTTTGCTGCGGTGTGAAATCTCGAAGTTTTCGTAAATAAGTTCAGAAAATCAGATATGTAAAATTGATCAAATCAGCAAATGCAAGATTAAAGAATTTTGGTGCCAGTAGAAATAATACGTATTTTATAGAAAATTTTTAGGGACGTGTACACAAAATATTTGTGTAACATATTATATATTATACATGCAAACATAACATAATATATAATAACATGTAACCATAATATAATGTAATGTGATAAAATTTAAATGTAATATAATATATTTGTGTGACAAAATCCAAATGCTATTTCAACATAACCTAACCATATAAATTCCATATTTCCACATAAACATATAAACGTACAATAAATAATTTTTATCATTCTATTTTATTTCTTATTCTCACATTTAAGATATTCGTATTTGTACGTTGACTCATTATTTTCAACCATATGAGTCACCAGCTATGAGACACTTCTTACATATTTAAAATTCATTAATTCTACATGCTCCACGATTTTTTAAATATATTACAGTGTATCAAAGAATTAGTTCATGAAATAATGGAGGAATGCAATGGTCAAATATTCAGTAAAATTATCGCGGAACGACGAGACAAAATTACAAAGCAGGTACGAAATGTGCGTGTATATCCGAATTAGTCAGATGGTGTGACTCGTCACGGTTTCAAAGGTGTACGCATTCTAATTAGATGGACACGCCAGGCTGCCCTCTCGTCTATGAAAGATATCGTCGGTTGACGCATTCAGCTCGAAGAATTCTCAACACGCATCGCGCGTTATTCAACGCGAAGACATTGCCTATCGCTGTGACAGCGGCGGATTAATTAAATTTATTAGCACCGTGTGCACTTCCGTAACGATTGCGTGAAAAATGGGACGTATACGGTGCCATAAAATGTCCGCTGGAACGTTAAACGTTGCCTTGCCGTGCGAACAAATCGTGAAAATTTTTATCTCCTTTAGCGAATTTTTTTTATCTACAGAGAAAATGTGCGAGGCGAAGCTTTAATTACGAAGAATAAATTTAATCTTTTAAACTAAGGATACACTTTTCAAATACAAATGGTACTTATTTATTTTTGCTTCATTTCATAATATTCTTCTTTCTGAATTTTTTTAATACTTTTACTAATTTCTTTTTTTTCATAATTTGTTTTCTCTAACTTCACTAAATTTGTTCAGTTTTTAGACTCTGTATTTTTTGCTCAGATGCAATTCTTTCTGAGGGAGTTAAACAAAATGGCCGCCATGACACGACTGTCATTAACCGGACAGTTGAAGATATTCTCAAATTTAAGGTAATTGTTTGCTAAAATAATTTACTACATTTTACCAAATTTGTAACAGATTACAAGCACAGTACAAAATGTCTACAACAAAAATTAAGTCAGCGATAATCAAAGGGGCTAAAAAAGAACAGGTGACGAATACCTGAAAGATACCGTTTTTTCGACTTCATTTCAATTTTAACAAGTGCCATAATACTTATGAACAGCAGCGTATTATACGTGGTTCGTTAACGAAAGGGTGAAAAGGCACCCTTAACGCGGCGCGATAACGTGGCTCGTTTCGCTCGAAGCGGGTACAGTGCTCGTGTCACGAAATTAACGCTGCACCTGGCCGAATGAAATTAACGCCCTGCACGCTAAAGGAAAAAAGGAGATCGAAGGTAGAAAAGGGAAAGAACAACGACGACAACACGGTCGATTCGATCTGGCCGCCATAGCGGCAAGTGGTGTGGCTGGTTGGTGCAATACCGACGTTGACACTGGCGTCGTTTACCAGATGCAGAAGGGGAGAAACGTCGCATAATGTCACTAACGTAATTAAACCGACCATCGTGAATTTCTACTCCGAGTGTTTCCGAAACTCCATGGAAACTTCTTTTCTCTTCGATTTTTACACGCGAATTTGCAAACTTAACCCGCTAGTTAACGCAATTTTAAATACGTATTTAACATGTTGCAACATTGGAATTACTGGAAAATTTTAGTAGATTGTATTTATACTTCTAACAAGTTTTACCAAATATTTTGTTGCATGTGATTATCAAACCCATCACTCATCACATCAAAATTGTAAGTGGTTAACAGAAGTATTTGCAACTGGGCAAGGGAACAAATTAATAATATAAGTGACATGTAAATTCAAACCTCACCCATGTGACACAGTCAAAGTCCAAAATTGTCTATTAATAAACACGATGAAGTAAATAATTATTAGGAAAAGAAAGTGAATCCCCCAGCATATACCACTGATGAAGAATCATAGAGATCGATGAAAAATCGACTGAAAATTTGAGGAGTGTTTTGTGGAACACCCTGTAGTGATCTGTACACCGTACGCAAATAAACTTGATAAATTCAACGTATCGTTTAGCGAGGCTCGATATAAACGGCCGACACACGATTAGCCTGTACGTGTAACAAATAGCAAGCTTGTCCGCTCCTCTAATAATACGACGACCGAGATACAAACCCCTTTTCATTCAACTTCTCCTTCGTTTGAGCTGCCAGTCACCCGTCAGTATCATTATCATTAAAAAGATCATCGTCTTCGATATTTTATAGGCAGCCTTTTCATTTCTGCAACATTAATGCGAGACGCTAAGGTGTTAATGGATACTTGTCGGAAGTAAACTGTTGCACTTTGTTACCTCTTTTCTTCTATCATTTTCTCGTTTCTCATTCAGGACGTCGATGTTGAGGCGTCGTTATCGAACGATTCTATTAATCGATAATTGGTTAAGTTGCAGTAGCAAGTCTTGTAAAATGGATGTGTGGCTGATGGTAATTAATACTTTGCAGATATGATACTTGAAATAGGCATGAATGAAATATTAAGTAAGTTAATGGTATTTTGAAATTGTTTTTTTTTTAAATAAATTGCAAATTTTGTAATTGTCAAATATTTAGCACATGATCTATAAAAGCATCTGGTACAAATTTTTATAAAATTTTTTTGTGTAAAGTTAGCTTATTTTATAATTGTAAAGTTATAGAATATTTCGTTTGTATATATTTATAATTATAAAACATTTCATTTACTTATATTTATAATTATAAGGCAGTTCGATTATTTATATTTTTAACTATAAAATATTTAGTTTGCTTACATTTATAATTATGAAACATTAAAATATAAATATTTCTCAATCTTTGTAACAATTTTTTGTTACATCTTTTGCAACGTTATACAACTTCTTTTTGAATAAACCATTAAAACAGCAAATATTAGTTTAAGTTTGTCTTAATTTTTGTCTTCATTGAGTCTATTTTTTTTCCAAAGTTGAAAAATATAAGAAATTGTCTGAAATCTAGACAAAGAGAAATCAACTTTAGCCTGCTCGTATTTTAATTCACCGACCCGTTGTTCGTAGATGTTCGATTTTCATTTCTTCTCCAAGGGAAATGTAGCGTTGATAAATCGCGTGTTTAATTAATTAATCACTGACAGCGGCGTTGCCCGTTTCTACCGTCCCACGACGATTTGTTTTAGCTTCGAATTCAATTATTAATCCAGAAATACGCCGGCGGATCGTCGATCGAAGTTCGCAATTAAGCGAATTAGAAAGTGAGAATATATTGGAACACGGTACGCTTTTAGATCACGTTTCTACCGAATGCACTTTAATTTTTGATGAACCTTTTCTCGAAACCTTTTAACGATCGAATACATCCGTGTCTGTTTAACGAGGTAGAAATACTATTCAAACGTATGGGATTGAATAAACTGCTTCTATTATTGTTATTGCTTGAACATGTAGGTGTTTTTATTCATCAAAATTGTTTTCGCTTAATACATATTTTAGATGAATATTAGAATGGCTAAAATTTAATTTTTAAGATATTTCTTGGATATTTTGACATTTTTCTGTGGGAAACAATTAAGATTGTTTTTACTTAATTAAATAAATATTTTAAATAATGACTATTGCAGTAACGCTTACAATTTTTAGAACATTGCTTGGACATATTAGCACTTTTTATTTTGCATTTATAGAACTTTTATCTTAAAATTTATAGCTTTGATTGATAGTTCAGATACATAAAATAATATATAAATAATAATGTAAATATATAAAATATTTCAAATATAAAAAATAATACATTACTCATAGGTGTAATATTACATAAAATAATACATCAGCATTTTATTAAATAATCATCCTATTTCATATGTACATCTAGCTTTCCCTAGGATAAACAGATGAAGCAAGTAGGTTTAGTATTCATTTCAATGCGAGTTGGTTCACTCGGTAATCAGTAAAACGCTAATGAACTCGATTCGGGTCTGTTTGTCAAATCACCAACGTAAATTGTACCTAGGCATAAAGCCTAATAATTCTTGAATATTAATCACACCGTATTAACGGTGCAAATCGAACTTGATTGTAGTCGTGAATATTTCACAAGCTGAGATGAAGAAGAATCATTAAAAACTACCCTTACAATCAATTACATATTGCTTTAATAGTACATAAAATTATTTTGAAATTCTAACATAATAAAAATAACATGATTCTGAAATACTACCACCTCCCTTGAAGTCATGCAACCCTAGTGTACTGTAAATATCAATATACATAATTGCAAATATAAAATATAAATATTGAAGTAAATAGTAGACCTATGTCGTTAAGTATCTATAAGATACCGACAATCTATATATCCGTAAGTATTAATAAGATGCCGACAATAGATACCATTAGTATCAATAAGATATCGTTAATCTGTATTCGATAACAGCTCCCCTGAATTTCATTTGCCCAAACGAAACGACTGAACCGATACGAAGTCACGCAAAAGAGAAACAAAAGAGACAAATACGTAGAATGTTTGTCCAACTGGTCACCGAGATCGAAAGGATTCTCGTGGCAAGCTACGGTTTCCCAGCCTCTTGTTCTCAGCGACTCGATCACGGACAAAAAGACCCGCGAAAGTGATTCCAGGCACGCGTTCGTCCCCTTTGCCGATTAATTTCGCTGCCACTGCAAGACGAAACGACAAGTTAGTCGACTTTTAACCGCTGGCCAACCTGACCGGGCAGGTGCGCGATCTTTCCTTTTTGAGGAATCTGAGGAAGCTACGAACCGGTGGATGCAACGGCGAAAGAAAGAGATTGAAATCTGCGGTTTCGAGCCGCCTGCGAGAATGAAATCATCCGTTATGTCAGTGAAGACCAAGGTATAACGAAATAACGAGATGTGAAAGTTTCATACTGAGTGATACAAGAACCGTGTACCGTTCGAAACCTTTAGATCCTTTCTGACAAAAATCAAGTCTCTTCATGCCATCATTTTTTCGCCATACTCGTACATAACCTCTACAGGTTAACCTGTTTAGTTCAAACGTGACTAAATCGTATTTGCACAATTGAACTTAACATTTACATAACTCTATTAAAAATCTATCGCTTCAACTTTCCTTACTTGTCTTAACATTGCAGGAACAATTAATTATAAATGACACAACAATCGAGGAAATCGTAGGTTAGAGGTAAACGTCATAGTGCACAGGTTGGGTGAACACTTTCTAAGACATTCTTCAGTGAAGCAACTGATTAGAAAAATACAATGAGTAATTGTTCGAGTGCTGAAGGACGAACGAAATAAAAAGGTCCCCCAATTGAATCGTTCGACCGCAGTGGTTTCACGGAAGGAACGCAAAAAGGAAGGACTGGTCATCGATCGGATGGAACCCGGAGGTCGATAATAACGGCGTAACAGGTTCTATCGTTTCATCGCAGTATTTACGTTCTATTATTCTCCGAGCTGACTCGTATATCGTTGGCCCGTGAAATTCCAGCGGAACGGACCCGGGGTCTCGTTTGGCCTCGCCGAGGACATTGTAGTATAGGCAGCCTCTCGCTGAAGTAATGGGCCATTTATTTTCACTCGTCGACCCCCGCCGAGACTAATGTGTCTCAGCAAGCTTTTTCACATCCCTCGTTGCCCACCTCGAGTGCTCCTTCCAGAAAGGTGGCTCGGCCACAAAGCTCTGAAATGCCGACGCGGAAGCTTCGGGCAAAACGAAACGAGAGGCTCCTTGCCGTCAGGAATCTTGCCGGTCGACGATTCAAAGTAAACGAATGGGAATTCGCTTTGACGACGCGTGAGCAACTTCTCCCTGACGGAGCCGGACGATTCGTTTGCGAGCTCGAAAGAAGTCGCGGGATAAAACCCGGTGATAAATGAACGCTCGGAAACGAGCTCGGCTCGCCTACTGTCCCGGTGCTTGAATCGCGTTCACCGAGAAAATTGATACGCTTTACGACGTAGTCGCTGGTTACCTTCGTTCGATATTCTTGCTCGCGTACAAAATGACACTCTAAGAAATTACGCACCGTTTTTGTCACTGACAGTTAACTATGGAATTTAGAACCTGCCTGCATACTTATTTTTGATTAAATAAATTCTCAATTTTAAATAAATAAATACTGAAGCAGCAGTATACATCTATTCTTTATAACATCAACTAGTTTACCCCGTGGATACATGACTTTACAACTATATTTGTTGCAAACTATATTAGAACTATATTTTACTTCTGCATTTATTATTTTAAAAAACTCTTCACTGTATAATTCTAATACATAATGTATAATTTTCAGGGATCCCTCACAGCAAATAAACGTCTCAAGCTTTCAATTATGAACTCGGATCACTGTCGCTTACCCCTATTTTACAACAAACCCCGTCTAGAAACCCCCTTCCGAGAACACCGTCACGAGGAAGCAACGACCGGCGAAGAGAATTCAAGTAGACGAGTCCGGTGAAAAAGCTTCGGGAAAACTTCGAGGGGATCGGACACTGGAAGGACCGTGACAGACGTACTGGAAGGATCGAGGAAAGAAAAGATGGGGTAAAGTTGAGGGTGTGTCACGGTGATTTTACGTCCAAGAAAGTCGCCCAAGTCGTCGTTTCGCTGGAAGCTGGCCAAATGCACTTAATGTTCTATCAGGATCCGGCAAGTTCGCCTTTACACATCATTTCTGTCACTCGCAAACTTTTTCTGAATTATTTCCTGCTTTACCGACTGCGCACACTGCGTGTAAGATGGTGGACTTAAATGAGATTTAAAGGAGAAATGTTTGACAAAATGAAGGCTGACTTGAAGGACTTATGTGACTCTCAAGGTTCTATCTAATAACAGATGCATGTATGTTAAATTGAAGAATTCATAGAAGCAGTGGTTTAGGTAAAATTATAAATTGCAAAGGTTTAAGTATAAGAACAAATGAAGTGTATGCATCAACGAAAGACATAGCTAGCCTAAGACTTTCAATTGAATTTCATGAAACTAGTATAAGTTCACAAGATGACTCCTGGTACCGAAATGAGGATACCAAAAGGAGCGAATGAAAGGTTACGATGAAATAAAAAAATATATTCCAAGTCTCAAATGTTTAGGATCAGCCATTAAGCCGTTTGAGAAGCTCTATAAATTCCTAGAGGCCATGTAGAGCGTGAATACACTAAAAAGCAGAGATGTCCCTAGCGGACTAACACAGCAGATAAGAGAGCAACAAAGGAAAAGTTGCACGTGAGTGATCAACGCGGAACAAACGGCAAAGTTCAGATAACCCCCGTATTTACCACAGCAGACACAACTGGGTGTCTAACATCCCTCGACTACTTCGAACGATTCTCGTAAATAGAAAAACAGAGATACGGTGAAAGCATTCGTAACCCTCCTGAGGAGATCGACGTCCACCCTCGGATCCAGGGTGTATACTTTACCACCTCTGACCGACGGAAGCCACTTCGTAGAACAAAAAAGAGCAGGACAAACGGGGATGACGTTTATCGATTTCAGCAACACAGGGCCAAGATAAAAGCGATTTCTAAAAAAGTCTGGGAAACCGGTGGTGTGCTTTGATCATCCCTCGGTTAACGCCGGATAGCGAAGCGGTTATTTTTGTTTCGTCTGTTTATTCGGTCGATTTACGTGTTTACAGCGATGTGTTCCCGCTGGAAAGATACACAAATGTTTGAAACGATACAGGAGACACGTTCCCCTGCGGGGGAGAAACGATACGAGGATTTGGGGAGATTTGTAACTTTGAAAGTTAGATTTCTTTGTGTTCGAACAAGATGAGCTTGCGATACTTTTTGCGGTTGTTCGAACTTTTTCGACTGGAAGCGGATTGGAGATGTAATTAAACTTCGTATTGGTATAATTTGGATTTTGAGGATATTAGCTACTATTTCGTTGTACATTTTCATAAGAGGTTAACTAGGAAAAGCACTGTAATCTGAATAATTACAGTTATTGCGTACTATATTCTCGACATGGAATTAGATATACTAATAGAAACTTTCAGATCTATCAAGAATTGTACAGACTTAAAAAGGAAATAATTACGAAACCATCAAAGTGTTAAAACTAATTACTCCACAGATAAGAGGCACATAAAAATGCTGATATATTCATAAAACGAGTAAATATGAACGAGATACTTTACGAAATAAAATAAAAATACATGAATTGCTAAATCTGCGGTATTTCAGTGTAATTAAATAACTCTATCGCTTGATAAATTTTTATCTAAAACGCGCGTGATCATGTAAACACGTTATTATCGTATTTTTTATTGAGATATTAATACAAATAACTACTTAAACAAATAAAGATACGTCTCAATATTCAATTAATACTTTTAATTTGAATAATTATCTGAATTATGTACATATTTTATTTTAAACTGTTCCGTTGAAAGATGTAATTCGAGAGATATTTGTCAGATCATATTTTTATCGTGTCATTGATAAATTATATACGACATTTTGTAAGACTAACACGATTAACTAATCTGTTATCTTTTGTGTATGTAATAAAAAGGTTGCTTCTTGGTATTCGCACTGACCGAGTGGAAAGATGATACACTGTTTTAATAACGCAAAGATAATGATACAATTAAGCAGAAAGGTCTCTTGATAAATACGTCATTAAATTTTAAGTGTTGCTACTGAAATGAACAGTTAGTTTGTCATCTCCAGCTAATGGCCTCACGTTTTAATAATTACTACAGCTTGTTAAAAAGGTCTTCGTGCATTTCGCTGAAATTTTTGCAACTCAACTTCAATTTACGAGATAACCCAAATTTCCAAATTCCCAATTTTCCAAGCTTTTAACATTCCAAACTAGTAAGTCACCACCCTCAAAATTCCTAAAATTTCAAATTTGCAAATTACCACCCTCGAAATTCCTAAAATTCCAAATTAGCAAATTACTACTCTTAAATTCCAAATTTTTCAAATTTCCAAATTCCTAATTTTCCAAGCTTTTAACATTCCAAACTAGTAAGTCACCACCCTCAAAATTCCTAAAATTTCAAATTTGCAAATTACCACCCTCGAAATTCCTAAAATTCCAAATTAGCAAATTACTACTCCTAAATTCCTAAATTCCTAAATTTCCAAATTTCCAATTTGCAAAGCTTCTAACATTCCAAACTAACTTTCTATTATTTCGCTTACAATTAGAAATATAATGTTGGAATAATAAAAATGAATTTAATTAATTTCATAAAATTTCAATTCGAATATCTGTTAAAATTTTTCGAAACTTCCATCTTCTCAATCCTTTTCTCTCAAGTTCTGCATCACATTCAAGAAGAATAATGCATTCACTGTTCTCGGAAGTTCACCGAGTCATCCATTAAAATCTACCTTACAGAAACTGTTGAAATTCAGCTGCAAGAAGTACAAATTTAATTATTTCCTACGATCCTCTTTGTCGCATTAAATTTCTCAGGGTCGAACAGCGACTACTTCGTTCCGTTGAATTCGATCCTCTTATCAGTTTGATACCCTATTTTCGCAACGCAGAAAATCATGGTGAAACGGAGCTTCGTGGAGGACGGGAAATCGCGAGACAGTGATTTAAAACGATAGAATCGTCGGAACGAGAGAAGAGGAAAGAAGATTGTAAGTGTCACGTCCCATTTACCACTCTTCTCCTGTTTTATCCAAAGAGGTTTTCACGCTCGACTCGAGCTCAAGCTCGAGGCAATATCCATAACAAAGTCCTTCGGTCCTCCTTGTCTGCTCATTTTCGCAGAGACTCGTTAAATAAATCGCCCGTGAAAAAAGCAGCAGTTTCTTTTAAATTCCGAACAAATTGGCGGGAAAGCTTCCGAGTGTCGATACTACTCGCGAAATTCGTTTACGACTGCCCTTAGACATAATTAAACGAGAATTTCATGGATCTTTTTATAGTAAAGCTGTTTGTGCAATTGGTTTTTACATTATTAATTGTTTAGCAGAAAATTTCATTGCTTTAGTAAATTCGATGCTGTGTTATTCACTACATTTTTCAAATTTACAATTTAAAGTATTAAAAACATAAATTTATCAATTTGTAAATTAGTCAATTTGTCGATTTTAACTTTGTCAATTTTTTAATTTTTTAATTCGTCAATTCTTCAATTCATCAATTATTAAATTCGTCAATTATTCCATTTTTCAATTTGTCAATTCGTCAATTCTTTAATTCTGTCAATTCGTCAATTCGTCAATTTTACAATTTGTCAATTATTCAATTTATCAATTTTATAATTCGTCAATTCGTCAATTTTACAATTTGTCAATTTGTACAATTCATCAATTATTAAATTCGTCAATTTTACAATTTGTCAATTTGTACAATTCATCAATTATTAAATTCGTCAATTTTTCAATTTTTCAATTTTTCAATTTGTCAATTCGTCAATTTTTCAATTTTTCAATTTGTCAATTCGTCAATTCTCTAATTCTGTCAATTCGTCAATTCGTCAATTCTCTAATTCTGTCAATTCGTCAATTTTTCAATTTTGTTAATTTGTCAATTATTCAATTTGTCAATCATTCAATTCGTCGATTATTCAATTTTTCAATTCGTCAATTCTTCAATTTTATTAATTTTTCAATTTTGTCAATCCTGTCAATTTTATCAATTTAATCAATTTTGTCAATTTCGTCAATTTGATCAATTTGATCAATTTGATCAATTTTATCAATTTTATCAATTTTGTCAATTTTATCAACTTTATCAACTTTATCAACTTTATCAATTTTGTCAACTTTATCAATTTTGTCGAATTTGTCAATTCGTCAATTTTTTCAAGTATTAAATAATCTTCACCAATAACAGCGAAGGTTCTCCAGACATTGTATGCAACAAACTCTTCCTATATTGCCAATTCAAAGAACCTTTCACTTCCACAATCCCATCGATCGCAATACGACGAAAGTCTACTATATTAAATCGAATTTCGTAATATTTATTCAAGAAAGAAAGAGGAAAAAATGATGAAAAGTCATATCGATAGTTGCAATCCTTTTATCGCGACGCCGTTAGTCCGTATAGAAAGGATATTTTTCCGGAGCAGCGGTCTAGAGAAAGAAATGAAATATGCACATAATATTCACGTAATAGGAGAAGAGGAGGATTGGAGCAACCCGGCGAGATCATGCGCGAATTTCGAGCGAACGAGAGACGAGTTGTATATGCAACAGCTTCATTCATTATTAATATCGACACGCTGCACACGTGCAAAGATACATACGTGATCGTAGTTAGAATAGCGCGATCGCCAGCCTGCCTATGTCGGCTCGTTGAGAAATGCACTGAACGTACCTGAAACAAAAAAGAAAAGAAACGATAAAATGACTCTATCTGTACGTATGGAAGCAGTTTATACGTAATATTTTTAACATGTATTACGTGGCCCACCTGGTGGCTCACGACGTTTATCAAAGATACTTTAATTAATTATCGAACGACGGTATGTTGAAATGCGCGGCAATTCAAACTTCATTTTTCAACCAATACGAAGGTTAATGAGTTCTGGAAATTAAAAGCACGGAAATATTGAAATTCGTAAATCTGCAAATTTATAAATCAAAACATTTTTAAATCTGAAGGGCGCAGAAAGTTTAGAAGTTCGTAACTTCAGAAATTGAAGAGGTCAGAAATTAAAAAATTTAGGAATATCAAAATTGAAAACCTTTAAATTGAGTCCACACTGAAATCAGAAATAACGTTATCAGAATAAACAGTGCGATATTTACTACGGGATATAGTTTACAGTTTACATTGAGTAGACATATTAACATGACACGGTTTCTGAAATATTACAGCACAAGATATATGCGGTGTAGCGTGTTCTTGAAGATGTTACGGGTATTTTCAATCTATTTTAATACTACGAATTATCAACACTGCGTTTTGCGTCATTTGATATTTGACTTGGTGATTCGAGGAACAACGTGATTCCACGAATCGACATTTTTAGAGTATCGACAAATTGACGTGTTGCTGACTACTTTCTGTAGCCATACATTAAATCGCCACGTGATAGATAGCCACGTTACTCGACCCCTCGCTACATTGCCGCACGTTGCATCGTCATGTCGTTACGCGTTATATTGCAACTTTACATCGGCAAGCATATTTCCACGCGTTATATCACCACAGGTTGCATTATAACGCGTTGCATCACATATTGCATTTTCTCGCGTTATATCGCCACGACTTTACAACGCGTTGTAACGCCACCAGTTCCATTGCAACGTGTTGTATAACTACGAATTGCGTTGCCATGCGTTATATCGCCATGAGTTGCATTTCCTCGCGTTATATCGCCACGAGTTATATTGCAATGCGATATATCGTCAAGAATTGCATTGCAACGCGTTGTATAACCACAAATCGCGTTGCCACGCGTTATTTGGCCATGAATTGCATTTTCTCGCGTTATATCGCCACGAGTTACATTTCTTCGCGTTATATTGCCAAGAATTACATTGCAACGCGTTACATAGTCATGAATTGCATTGCCACGCGTTATATCCCCACGAGCTGCATTTCCTCGCGTTATATCGCCACGACTTATATTGCAATGCGATATATCGTCAAGAGTTGCATTGCAACGCGTTGTATAACCACAAATCGCGTTGCCACGCGTTATTTGGCCATGAATTGCATTTTCTCGCGTTATATCGCCACGAGTTACATTTCTTCGCGTTATATTGCCAAGAATTACATTGCAACGCGTTACATAGTCATGAATTGCGTTGCCACGCGTTATATCGCCACGAGTTGCATTTCCTCGCGTCATATCGCCACGAGTTGCATTTCATCGCGTCATATCGCCACGAGTTGCATTTCTTCGCGTTATATCGCCACGAATTACATTGCAAAACGAAATATCGTCACAAATGGCATTACAAAGCATTGAATAACCATAAATCGCGTTGCCACGCATTATATCGCCGTGAGTTGCATTACCTCGCGTTATATCACCACACAGTAACACAATTATGAATTATAGAGCCACACACGGAATCACCACCAGTCACGCGTTATATTGCTGCGCGTTATATCGCCACGTGTTGTTTTGCCACGCGTTCCGTCGTCACGTGTTGTACTACCATGCTTTGCATTGCCGCGCGTTATATGTACATACGACCATGCATTTTATCGTCACACTGTGTCGGCAACTTTTTGCCGTTTCACGTTGTATTACCATGCATTGTATCACGAGCTGCATCCGTAGCAGTCTTCCTCATTTGCAAATTTGTTTTG